GGAATGGAGGAATCGTGTGAAGCCAGGAGACCCACCAGAGGATTATGTTCCACAAGAGGACCCAGAAGACAGATCTTTCACAGAGGCCATCCGGAAGGTGATTGTACGAGCGCTTGCATCACTAAGGAGTTTGGGGGTGTTGTGTCTTCTGCAGGCTGGGATGACTGTGGGAGAGGGGGGTCCTAAAGTTGACTCATTAGCGTCCATGGGAAGGGTATGGCCCTGAAGAGACAGAGGCCAAGTGATGACAGTTAACCTGTGAAAGCCAGAGGCCAAAATGATGATAACAACTCCAAAGGAGCAGAGACCGCTATCTGGTGCTGTCTTCCCAGTGGGAAGAGTAAGTGGGTCCAGGACCAAGGGGTGTGGCTCTTAAATTTCCATCATGGGGGATCATCCACTGGAGGGTTTTGCACTTTCTGTCCCCACAATTTGGAGTCTGTAAAATGGGAGGTCCTTGTTCCCAAAAGGGAGATGTTCTTACAAGGGCACATGACAAGGGTCCCATTGTCCTATACAGTACGGTTGTCTCCAGGGTACTTTGGACTCCGTATGTCCAGACCAGCAGATGACAGGAGCCCCGTCTTCTTGAGATAGGAGTAGTTGACCCTCATCTGCATGATGGGGAGGGGCTGGTGTCCCATAATGGGGGCAGGAAGAACATATATTTTTAAAGATTTTATTTATTTATTTGACAGAGAGAGAGAGCACAAACAGAGGGAGCAGGAGAGGGAGAAGCAGGCTCCCCACTGAGCAGGGAGCCTGATGCAGGGCTCGATCCCAGGACCCCGGGATCATGACCTGAGCCAAAGGCAGACACTTAACGACTGAGCCCCCCAGGCGCCCATAGGGGCAGGAGGAATATGTGTGGAATCCTGAAAGACTTGGGTGTCTCCTGGTTCCCCCTTGTTCCACTGCAACTGTGAATGGATGCACAGAGCAATCAAAGAAAGAAGGGTTTGATTTCTAGTGGCCCAGATTCCTTAGGTGTAAGGTTTAAGTCACATTCCCCAAGTCAGCCACAAGGACACCCACTCCTGTGCCCTAAAATCTCCAAAGCATTTGTGCAGAGGCCTTGCGTCTCATGGGCTATTCCCAGCCAACGACTGGTCACAGAGGGACACTAAGGCAGGCTTACTTCCGAGACACAAGGGGCTGCTCTGCTGGCTAACTGTGCTTGAGGACTCCCTACTAGGTACCAGGAACAGGTTTATTTTTTAGGAATACAACTGACAAAAATAGCCCAAAGGCCCTGTGCTCATGTGCCTTACATTCTAGAGGCTTCCCAAGAGTGAGATGGAGCTGTTGGAGCATTTTCAGTGAAGACATGACACGACCTGACTCACAGCAACAGGATCGCTGCCGCCTGTGAGGAGAAGGGCCCTGGGTGGCAGGTGATCGGGTGGCACCAGGGCCCCAGTTCAGGAGTGAGAGGTGGTGGAGACTAAGGAGAGGAGTGGGCCCAAGGGATGAGAGAGACACAGAAAGGACTGGAGATGCAGGATGAGGAAGAGGAGCAGAGGGAACGAATTCTAAAGCAGTGTAGTTCTCAGATTTAAATATGTTGTTATATAGATTTTTTATTAAATCTATATCTACAGGTCTTACCAAGATATTTTTTGCATCTAGTATTTACTATATTCTGTGACGCTGCCTGAAAACCAATTGCCTCCTTATGCTAATCAGTTTAACATGTGTCTAGATAAAATATAAAATGTGTCTGGATAAAATATGTGTTTAGATAAAATATACACACTGCTTAGATGTGAATAATGCATACAAATAGGCGATGCAGGAGCACTGGTGAAGGGCATTTTGATTGCATGAAACATTGCAACTTTGAGGTTCTTCAAGTTTGTACATACTCCTGGTTGAAATACTTAGTATCAAACTGTGCTTCCATGTGCTTCCATGTATTGAGGATATGAGGGGAACTCACACAGACAAACTTAGGGCTATGGAATGAAGATTGTTTTTAGAAACAAAGAAGAGGATCATAGGGGAGGGGAGGGAAAAATAAAATAAGATGGAATCAGAGAGGGAGACAATCAATAAGAGACTCTCATAGGAAACAAACAGGGTTGCTGGAGGGGAGGTGGGTGGAGGGATGGGGTAACTGGGTGATGGGCATTAAGGAGGGCACAGGATGTAATGAGCACTGGGTGTTATATACAACTGTGGAATCATTGAACTCTACCTCTGCAACTAATAATATACTATATGTTAATTAATTGAATTTAAATAAAACAATAATAATTAAAAAAGAAAAGAAAACACGAGAGCTCGACCTGCTGGAGCTTAGTAGCACCTGTGAGGAATCGAAGCTAAATTATCTCAACTCTGTGAGACAAAAGCTCAGAGCTTTGTGGAAAATAGAAAACAAGTACCTACAAAGCTTTAATATAAGGTAAGAAGGTGCCTGAGAACTCGGAGGGATTCCTTCCAGCTGGAAGTACCATTTGGAGGTGAACCTTGAAGAAGAGTAGAACTGGGGTGTGTGGATGAGGGGACTGGGTTGGAGGATGAGCTGAGTGGAGAAGCAGACATACGGAACTCCCAAGAATATCCAGTTATTAAGCCAGTGTGTGCAGACAGCTGGTGGAAGGTAAGATTTGAAAGGGAATTTGGGGTCTGTTTGTAGGGAGCTAGGAATATGAAACTAAAAAGTATGAGCTTTAATTGGAGCCATGAGAGTTGTGTTGTTTTTGTTTTTGTTGTAAGTGCTTTTTAAAATTAATGTTTTTTACTTTGAGCTAATTGAAGACTCACATGCAATTATTTTTTTTTTAAAGATTTTATTTATTTGTCAGAGAGAGAGAGCGAGTACAGGCAGGGGGAGAGGAAGAGGGAGAAGCAGGCTCCCCATCGAGCAGAGAGCCCGACGCGGGACTCAATCCCAGGACCCCGGGATCATGACCTGAGCCAAAGGCAGCCGTTTAACCGACTGAGCCACCCAGGAGCCCTGACTCACATGCAATTATAAGAAATAATAGAGATCCTGAGTAACTTTTACTCAATGGTAATACCTTGCAAAACTGTAGTCAGTATTACAACTAAGATATTAACATTGATATAATCCACTGCTCTTATTCAGGTTTCCCCAGTGTTACTTGTACTCATCTGGGTATGTGTTTAATTCTATGGAATCTTATGATATATATAGGTTTGTATATCCATAAACAGAGTCAAGATATAGCCCAAACATTTTTTTTCTAATAATTTTTTTAAAAGATTTTATTTATTTATTTGAGAGGGACAGAGAACAAGTGGTGGGAGGGCAGAGGGAGAGAGAGAGAAAAGCAGGCTCCCTGCTGAGTAGGGAGCCTGATGTGGGGCTCGATCCCAGGATCCGGAGATCATGACCTGAGCCAAAGGCAGACGCTGAACCAACTGAGCCACCCAGGCACCCCTTTTCTAATAATTTTATACTTTAAATGTTATATATATAAGTTCTATTATACATTTTAAATTAATTTTATAAAGTGAGAGATTTAGCCTCAAGTTTGTTTGCTTGTGTTTTTGTCTGTGGATGTCCAGTTGCTCTAGCACCATTTATTGAAAAGACTATCCTTTTGCACTGAATTGCCTTTGTGCCTTTGTCAAAAATCAGCTGAGCATATGTGTGGGCCTACTCCTGGGTTCTCTATTCTGTTCCATTGATTTATATGTCTATTTCTCTGCCAACATTACAATGTTTTAATTACTGTAGCTAAATCATAAGCCTTAATATGAAATAGAGTGATTCTTCTCACTTTATCTCTCTTTTTCGAGTGTGTTAGTTCTTCTAGGTACTATGCCTTTCCATATAAATTTTAGAATAAGCTTGTCTATGTCTACAAAAAACCCACAATCCCAGTAAGGATTTTGGCAAGAATTGCATTAAATCTATAGATCAATTTGGAAGGAACTGACATCTTTACTAGGTTGAATCTTCTTATACACGAACATATTATGGCTCTATTTAATTTGCTTTCTTTTATTAGCATTTTGTAATTTTCAGCATTCAGATCCTTTATGTGTTTTGTTAAGTATATACACTGTATTTCATTTTCTTTATAACTGTAAATAATACTGTGTTTTTAATTTTGGTTTCCATGTAACCTGTGTTACTATATAAAAACATCCATTTATTTTCAACCTACCTGTGTCATTAAATGTGAAGTGAGTTTCTTCTCACTTCAAACACCAAACCAAACCAAACCAAACCAAACAATAGAGTCACAGTTATGCTGTCTGACAAAGTACAACTTAGTAGCTTTTTGAGTCTTCATTGCAATGTTGTTTAGACATTTCTACAGGAAGGGGCAAAACCACTTTAGGGATCAGATTCTGATGTTCAGGGATTATCAAGATTGTGCTACCACTGTAGTGAATTAACAAAAAGGAAACTGATCTCTATGAGAATCTCTAGCTGGGGTTTTCGACCGAAACTCCAGGCTTAAAGAGAAAATTCCCGTTCCTTCATCTCCATTCCCAGGGCGAGCTCACTCTCTGGCATCCAGTTTCTTGGGGGTGAGTTTTCTTTTAGAAGAGTCGGGAGGAGAAGGAAGGAACAGGAGTTCAGCTCAAGTCGAGGGATTCCAGGAACGGAAAGGGACAAAAGCGGGCTGATCCCAGCCTGGTATCTCTCCCTGGTGTCTCTTCCAGAAAGACCCTGGGCCAGGCCTCAGGGAGACAGTGAGACAAAGAGCGCTCTGTGCAGTTGGAGAGGAATCAGGGCAAAGCCCGGGGCTCGTGGAAGGCCTGGCTCTGGAAGTCCCAGGCCTGAGAGCCTGGAGCGTCTGGGGCAGGGAAGCCCAGTCCCTTACTCTGCGTGTTTCTCTTCTCGCTCTCACAACCCGTCAGGTTCTCCCCTCTGGATACTCATGACGTAGTCCCAGCTCGCACTCCCACTGTCCGGTTTCTAGAAAAGCCAACCAGCGTCACCGCGGTTCCCCGCCAGTCCGTGCCGCAGACCCGCCGGGACTTAGTTCCTCCAGACCCCAGGGATGAGAGTCGTGATGCCCCGAACCCTCGTCCTGCTGCTGTCGGGGACCCTGGCCGTGACCAAGACCTGGGCGGGCGAGTGCTGGGGCGAGAGGAAAGGGCTTCTGCGGCGGGAGCAAGGGAGGAGCCTCTCCGCAGCCCCCGCTCCCGGCCCCGCCTCCGCCCTGCTCTCGCGCCCTCGGTGCCCCTCCCCTGCCCTCCCGGCCGCCTCCCCCTGGGCCCCGGCCCCGCGCCGGGACGAGGGTCGCGCGGGGTCTCAGCCCCTCCGCGCCCGCAGGCTCCCACTCCCTGAGGTATTTCTCCACCGCCGTGTCCCGGCCCGGCCGCGGGGAGCCCCGCTTCGTCATCGTCGGCTACGTGGACGACACGCAGTTCGTACGGTTCGAAAGCGACGCGGCGAGTCCGAGGATGGAGCCGCGGGCGCCGTGGATGGAGCAGGAGGGGCCGGAGTATTGGGACCGAAACACCAGGAAGGCTAAGAACCACGCACAGACTTTCCGAGTGAACCTGCACACCCTGCGGGGCTACTACAACCAGAGCGAGGCCGGTGAGCGACGTGGGCTCCGGTCCCCACGGACAGGGCTGTGGGACCCGCCCGTCTCCCCGTCTCCCCACCCGGGAAGAGCCTTTTACCCGCCTTTCAGTTTTGGCTTTAAGTCCTGGGGTTCGGAGGCGGGGCCCCGGGCTTCGGGGCGGAGCTGACCGCGGGGGCGGGGCCGGGGCCAGGGCCCTGGTCTCACACCATCCAGTGGACGTCTGCCTGCGACGTGGGGTCCGACGGGAACCTCCTCCGCGGGTACGAGCAGTTCGCTTACGACGGCGCGGATTACATCGCCCTGAACGAGGACCTGCGCTCCTGGACCGCGGCGGACACGGCGGCGCAGATCACCCGGCGCAAGTGGGAGGCGGCCGGTGTGGCGGAGCATGACAGGAACTACCTGGAGGGCACCTGCGTGGAGTGGCTCGGCAGGTACCTGGAGAACGGGAAGGAGACGCTGCAGCGTGCAGGTTCCAGGGGCCGCAAGGCTTCCACGATTTCCCCTCAGGCTGAGGCCTCCTAAGAGGATAGGAAGAAATGGGATCCATACCAGTATATGGCCCTCCCGTGGGTTGGGTCTGGAGACTAACTCCGCCTGGGTTTTCAGACCTGGTACCGGAGTGGCCCTAAGAGTCTGCCTTTCTCCTAGGGACCGTTGAGGGTTACAGTCTCCCCAGGGATGGAGGAGGAGACCATTTATGAAATAACTGATGAGCGTTTCCCTTTGACTCACAGTGCCATTGGGAACCTTGGGGGATTTTCTTAGGCTTTGTTCTCTGTCCCATACCCCATGTGTTTGGGGTCTGACTTTACCTATTCTGAGTCATTTGGCCTCCAGCCAGGCTAGGACCAGAAATTCCTTTTTTTCCTCACAGAAACGTGCCTTCTACACTGGGCCATCTCACCCTAATTCTAGAACTTTCCAAACAAGAAGAGATTTTGTGTTCAGGCTGGTGTCTGGGTTATTGCTCTCTTTCCCCACCCCAGTTGTCCTGTTCATTCTCAAGATGGCCACATGAGAGCTGCTTCAGTGGACCAAGACAGATGTAAAGTTCCTGAATTTTCTTTCCTTTTTTTTAAATTTTTACATTTAAATTCAGTTTACTTAACATATACTGTATTATTAGTTTCAGAGATAAGAGTTAATGATTCATCAATTGCATATAACACCCAGTGCTCATTACATCACCTGCCCTCCTTAATGCCATCACCCAATTATCCTTTCCCTCCACCCACTTCCCCTCCAGCAACACTGTTTGTTTCCTAGACTTAAGAGTCTCTTATGGTTTATCTCCCTCTCTGATTTCATCTTATTTTATTTTTCCTTTCCTTCCCCTATGTTTATCTGTTTTGTTTCTTAAATCCCACATATGAGTGAAATCACATGGTATTTGTCTTTTGCTGACTTATTTCACTTAGCATAATACCCTCTAGTTCCATCCATGTTGTTGCAAAGATTTCATTCTTTTTGATGGCTGAGTAATATTCCATTGTGTGGAATATTCTTCTTTATCCATTCTTCTTTATCCATTCATCTGCTGATGAACATCTGGGCTGTTTCGATAGTTTGGCTGTTGTGGACATTGCTGCTATAAATATTGGGGTGCATATGCCCCTTCAAATCACTGTGTTGGTATCCTTTGGATAAATACCTAATAGTGCAATTGCTGGGTTGTAGGGTAGCTGTATTTCTACCTTTTTGAGGAACCTCCATACTGTTTTCCAGAGTGGCTGCACCAGCTTGCATTCCCACCAGCAGTGTAGGAGGGTTCCTCTTTCTCTGCATCCTTAACAACATCTGTCGTTTCCTGACTTCTTAATTTTAGCCATTCTGACTGGTGTGAGGTGCTATCTCATTGTGGTTTTGATTTGGATTTCCCTGATGCCAAGTGATGTTGAGCATTTTTTCATGTGTCTTTTAGCCATCTGGATATCTTTGGAAAAATATCTATTCGTGTCTTCTGCCCATTTCTTGACTGGAGTTTTTGTTTTTTGGGTGTTGAGGTTGATAAGTTCTTTATAGATTTTGGATACTAGCCCTTTATCTGATAAGACATTTGCAAATATCTTCTCCCATTCTGTAGGTTGCCTTTTAATTTGTCGATTGTTTCCTTTGCTGTGCAAAAGCTTTTTATCTTGATGAAGTCCCAGTAGTTCATTCTTCCTTTTGTTTCCCTTGCCTTTGGAGACGTGTGCAAGAAGTTGCTGCGGCTGAGGTCAAAGAGGTTGCTGCCTGTGTTCTCCTCTAGGATTTTGATGGATTCCTGTCTCACATTTAGGTCTTTCATCCGTTTTGAGTTTATCTTTGTGTATGGTGTAAGAAAGTAGTTCAGTTTCATTCTTCTGCATGTGACTGTCCAGTTTTCCCAACACCATTTGTTGAAGAGACTGTCCTTTTTCCATGATGGATATTCTTTACTGCTTTGTTGAATATTAGTTGAACATATTGTTGAGGGTCCATTTCTGGGTTCTCAGTTCTGTTCCATTGATCTATGTGTCTGTTTTTGTGCCATAGTTGCATACTATCTTGGTTACAGCTTTGTAATAGAGCTGGAAGTCTGGAATTGTGATGCCACCAGCTTTAATTTTCTTTTTCAACATTCCTCTGGCTATTCGGGGTCTTTTCTGGTTCCATACAAATTTTAGGAGTATTTGTTCCATTTCTGTGAAAAAAGTGGATGGTATTTTGATGGGGATTGCATTGAATGTGTAGATTGCTCTAGGTAGCATTGACATCTTCACAATATTTGTTCTTCCAATCCATGAGCATGGAACGTTTTTGCATTTCTTTGTGTCTTCCTCAATATCTTTCATAAACGTTCTATAGTTTTCAGAGTACAGATCCTTTACCTCTTTGGTTAGATTTATTCCTAGGTATTGCAGGGGTTTTGGTGCAATTGTAAATGGGATCAATTCCTTGATTTCTCTTTCTTCTGCCTCATTGTTAGTGTAAGAAATGTAACGGACTTCTGTGCATTGATTTTATATCCTGCCACTTTGCTGAATTCCTGTATCAGATCTAGCAATTTTTTGGTGGAGTCTTTTGGGTTTTCGACGTAGAGTATCATATCATCTGCAAGGAGTGAGAGTTCGACTTTTTTGCTGATTTGGATGCCTTTTATTTCTTTTTGTTGTCTGATTGCTGAGGCTAGGACTTACAGTACTATGTCGAACAACAGTGGTGAAAGTGGACATAACTGCCGTGTTCCTGACCTTGGGGAAACCTTCTCAGTTTTTCCCTGTTGTGGATGATATTCACTGTGGGTCTTTCATATATGACTTTTATGATATTGAGGTATGTTCCCTTGATCCCTACATGGCGGAGAGTTTTTATCAAGAAAGGACACTATATTTTGTCAAATGCTTTTTCTGCATCTATTGAGAGGATCGTATGGTTCTTGTCCTTTATTAATGTGTCTCACACTGATTGATTTGCGGATGTTGAACCACCCCTGCAGTCCAGGAATAAATCCTTTTAAGGTACAGTTGGATCCTGTTAGCTAGTATCTTGGTGAGAATTTTTGCATCCATGTTCATCAGGGATATTGGTCTATAATTCTCCTTTAAAATGGGGTCTTTGTCTGGTTATATATATCTGTGAATATATATAGGATATATATAGAATATATCTGTGACGTCCAGCTGGTGCAGTGTGTCATCCAAAGCCCTTGTTTCCTTGTTGATTTTCTGCCTAGATGAGCTGTCCATTGCTGTGAGTGGGGTGTTAAAGTCCCCTAGTATTACTGTATTATTATCAATGAGTTTCTATAATTTTATTATTAATTGGTTTATACATTGGCTGCTCCCAAGTTAGGGGCATAAATATTTACAATTGTTAGATCTTCTTGTTGGATAGACACTTCTATTATGCTATAGTGTCCTTCTTCATCTCTCCATTAATTTTTGGTTTAAAACCTGGTTTGTTTGATATAAGGATGGCTACTCCAGCATTCTTTTGATGTCCACTGGCATGATAAATGGTTCTCCAGCCCCTCACTTTCAATCTGGAGGTGTCTTTGGGTCTAAAATGAGTCTTTTGTAAGCAGTATATCCATAGGTCTTGTTATTTTATCCATTCTGATACCCTATGTCTTTTGATTGGAGCATTTAGTCCATTTAAATTCAGAGTAATTAGTGAAAGATATGAATTTAGTGCCATTGTATTTCCTGTAAAGTCGCTGTTCCTGTAGATTGTCTCTGTTCCTCTCTGGTCTTTGTTACTTTTGGGCTCTCCCTCCACTCAAAGGATCCCCTTTAATATTTCTTGCATGGCTGGTTTAGTGTTCACAAATTCCTCTAGTTTTTGTTTTTCCTGGACACTCTTTATCTCTCCTTCTGTTATGCATGACAGCCTTGCTGGATAAAGTATTCTTGGCTGCGTATTTTCTCCATTTAGCACCTTGAATATATCACGAAGTCCTTTCTGGCCTGCCAGGTCTCTGTGGACAGGTCTGCTGCCAGCCTTATATGTCTAACCTTATAGGTTAAGGACCTCTTGTCCTGAGGTGCTTTCAGGATTTTTTCTTTATCTTTGAAATTTGCAAGCTTCCCTATTGTATGTCAAGGTGTTGACCTATTTTTATTGATTTTGAGGGGGGTTCTCTGTGCCTCCTGGACTTGAATGAACTTCCCCAGATTAGGGAAGTTCTCAGCTATAATTTGTTCAAATAAACCTTCTGCCCCTTTCTTCCCCTCCTCACCTTCTGGGACTATTATAATATGGATATTATTTCACTTTATAGAATTGCTGTGTTCTCTAAGTCTCCCTTCATGGTCTAATTGTTTCTTTTCTCTCTTATTTTCAGCTTCCTTATCTCTTATCATTTTGTCTTCTATATGACTGACTCACTCTTCTGTCTTGTTCATTCTCATTTTTAGGGCTTCCATTTGGGACTGCATCTCAGTTAGAGCATTTTTTTTTAAAGATTTTATTTATTTATTTGAAGAGAGAGACACAGCGAGAGAGGGAACACAAGCAGGGGGAGTGGCAGAGGGAGAAGCAGGCTTCCCGCCGAGCAGGGAGCCCGATGCGGGGCTCGATCCCAGG